AATAAAATTATGATGATATATGAACTAAATAAAAAATGTGTATACTCCTAGTCTAAGTCCCGGGTGCCTGTAAAGCTTGGTGGATTTTGTGTGTACGGCGACCTGTGAATGGGCATGTTGCTCAGTCATGTACCACTGGGAACTTGACAGAAAATGAAAAGTTGTCTAGTTGTCATGACATTGACCTTTGCGAACATAATCAACCAATGGTAAAAGTGGATTCACGCAATCCTGTTGTTACATTGAACCACAGAGATACTAAAGGAAGGAGCCACATGGCAAATACCCTACCGCATCGACGTTTTTATGCGACGGAATCATTTGCTTACGATGAAACTAAGTTGAATTTTATTTGAATTTCATAACAATTCAACGAATTTATTTTTTGCACGTTATTGTAATCATTACTAGATCAACAATTGTGAAACGCAGAATGACTGGATTGTGCAACCGTGATCATTTGCTACTACGCAATGCAGTTGTGTTTAAGATATATTTTCATTATCAATAAAATGAAAACAAATGTATTTGAAAAATGACACTGGGCAACATTGTAATGAAATTTCAGGCGGTCTACTTTTTAATTCAGCAAAAATTATTAATTATTGTTAATTCTGTAATACCCTCGGTAGTTTCTTTCGTCTTAGGTGGCCCAACTGACGGCATTGAAAGTATGCGTATACTTTGATACTTCAATAAAAATGGAAGTCCACAAAAAATATTTGATATTTGTTTTTTTAAATTTTGAACCCCAAATAAGCGCTCACCAGCCGCGAAATCCCCAGGGCTATTTTTTGGATGGGCGAATTTACGGCAGAATCCGGTATTATATGAAGAAAGTATTAATTATGGACATCTCGCGCATATTGTCAATGTTTTATACTGTTTGTAGTTTGCATATGAAAGTGGTTGTTGATGCCCCTCCTATTATTCGACGTCGTTGACAATGCGATAACAATGCCACTCGCACTGTGCACATTTTAGCACTAGATCTAGTGCCATTTTCCGGATTAGTGCTACTAGCACTAACCACTCGCACTATGCCCATTTCGACATATTTACATACATGTATATAGTGCTAGTTGTCACTTAATGTGTGTGTGTGGTTTATTGCTTAATGCAATATTAGCTGTACGTAATATCTCATTTTATTTAATAGGAGTAGCCTTAGAAAGGACCTAGATACAGCAAGACATGCAGTAAGAACTGCACAACTTAGAATAGCAGAACTTAGTACTGTAAGTCTGTAGTTAGTGATATCCAAACTTTTATTATAGATTTATTAGTCATCATTATTCTCTACAAATGTCATACATGAGACAACACAAATGTTTCTGATGTATTACATACTTGACAATATTTTGGTATTTAGACGAGTATTTTCAAATACCAAAAACTTGTTTGAAATAAAATAATATTGGTAACTCTTGTTACACATCCTTTTTTTTAGTGGTGGCCATTTTGTACATCAAAAATATTGATTTTTGTTCATTTTGCTTATAATTTAAGAATACAGTTCATACTTGGTACAGAGGCAATATATTATTTCATGAAGATGCAAGTTAGAATCAAGATTCAATCAAAATTCTATGCAGTATGGCTGACCAGAAGCCACTTTGTTTGATGAAAATCATGAATTTTTGACTTCTAAGCGCAATTCTGCTTGTATCACAACTGGCAGCCATTTTTTCGATGAAAATCATAATTTTTTTACTCCCATGTGCGAAGCACACAATGGGAGTCTTTGCAGTTAGTGTGTGTGTGTGGGTGTGTGTGTGTGTGTGTGTGTGTGTGTGTGCATGTGTCCGTCTGTTCCACACCATCATACAAGCACTTGCCATATATATTAAAATAAAAGAACAGAGAGGAGCTGTGACAATGGTTTGTTTATTACAAATTCTGTTAATTTGCAATGTGGATTGCACCATACATACAACCTAATATCTAAATAATATTTAATTTCCTGCACACAATCTTTGAGCAATAATTGAATTACATATGTAGCATAAAATATGAATTTTGTTTTATAGAAACTGGTTCAGATGACAAATAAATGCCAAGAGCTAGGAAGTCAGAATAGCAGTCTACAGAATAAAATGAAGGATTTAAATGAGGAATACAGGACAAAATTAATGAAATATATTTGTGATATTGCTGTATGTATCAACTTGTATGTATTTTCAAAATTTGTTAATTAGTCATCCATCTCTTCGACATGCAACATGCATTCACCAATTTTTCAGATAGAGGCATAGAAATAAGTTGACAGAATGAGGGCATTTATACTGCTGTTAATGCTAAGAAACGACACTAGAGACCAAGTCTTGGCTGAGAGCAGAAGGGGTGTGAGCCACGGTCAAGCGTCGTCGCCGAAACCTGTTCCGTGATGTGAGTCGCAGATTTGATTCACATCACGGAGAGATTAGCGTGGTACTTG